ACCGCGCCAGCCTTTCATAGGCTTCACTTTTTGGCGTTCTAGCACCACAACCCCCAAAATGGGCTGTCACGCTCGTCGTGACCTCCCACGTCTCTCCACAGATCGTGCCTCATGGAGATACTGCTCCAAAGGGAATATAGCACCATTATCCATCAACATGCGTAGGAGGGGAGCCACAGGGTTGGGAGGGGGTTAATGCTAATGGTTTTGCCAGGAAACAGCAGTTTTAGAATTAATCCTACAGCATATTAAAATCCTGCTTTGATAGCTGCTAAAAACAGCTATTATCAAAGGTCGTGGGCATTCGGTACAAGTAATATGAACACAACCCAAAAGAGACAAAGAATTTGCATGATGGTACAAAACAACAACACTGAGAACACTGTATTTATGGTTATTACATTCAGTTTTTTTTTTTATTAACAACTACATTTAATGTGTGTGGAAAATATAAATCAGCAACTAGAAATACCACAAATCTTTTGAAGAAAGTACAGACAATTCAGTTAGAACTTTTTCTATGGTTACTGCTCACACATCTGTCACTGATGGGAAATTTTCTTGCTGGAAGTGAACTCTCACTACACAAAATATATGGGGGTGGTGGGGGGTGGGGGGAGACGAAGGAGAGCCTAGCTACGGGAGGCAGGATGTGAAACCAAAAATAAGATGTAGAAATCTTGCCATTTTCTTTACAATCCTTTAAGAATAGCAGCTGATGTTCCTTGTGTTGGCATTAACACCACATGTATCTGGGAGTATCCCCACTGAGCTGGTGGAAAGCAAATAAAGGTATTAACTGCAAACTCATTGACCTCGACATATCTTCGTTATCTAAGCTCCTGATCTTCTGAATATTTTACCAGTTGGGTTAAAAACCTTTTGCAAAAAGCCCAGAGACAAATCTGTGGAGACTGGCATTCTCACCTGTTTAGAGTTGGAGGCTACCGTACTACTTCCTGTCAAAGGGTGGACCAAATGGCAACCCCTTCAAGTACAAAGGTAGCTAAGACTTGGTTTTAGTATAAAGCCTAAGGGTTTGCATAGAGTTGACTAATGGAAGAGTGAGTCAGTCACAACAACCTGAGAATGATGGAAGAACAAATAGTGCAGACAGACAAATAAACAGATGGATGAATAGATGGACAAGTGGATGAACAGATATAGGAAAATCCAACTCGTTCTATGAGAGTTCAGCCTTTTGCAGCTCTAGACCCAAGATGGCTGCTAATCATCAACACCTGCTGGTCATCACCTTAATGAGGAGACCTCCCTACATAAGGCTGCAGTCGAGCTCTACTGTCCGCTGGAGCATTACGTATGGGCATGGTATTTATGCTTTTGGCCAAGTTATACTTTTTGAGTAAAGATTATAACCTTGTCTTCTTTTTGTGTCACAGCTTACCTGCGTCCCTCAAGCTTCTCAACATCTTGGCTGTTTTGGATTCCAGTGTCTCCTAGTGCTCTTTACTCACCAACCATCTGCCTGCTTTAATCTGATCATCATCTTGGAAATATTTGGATTACTCTCTCAAGATGAGACCAACCTCCAGAATTGTAAGACAATACATGTCTATTAGAATTCTTCAAAATTCATACTACTACCGACCTGATCCATGTCCTCGCTCTTCAGGGTTCCAGAGGATTCCCAAGGCAGAAACTTACCTTTTGTAACTGTATATAACTGTATATAATAAACACTGTTAATTACTTCGTGTGGAGTCATGTCTTGTTCTGATTTCATACCATCTGGGTTCCCTGAGTTACAACACATTCGAGTTCAAGAAACTTTTATTATCCCCAAGGGGCAATTTGTTTCACAGTCAATAGGCACATAAAACATCCACACTAGACAAGACATTGAGATATTAAAATAACAGTACAGAAATAATTGTTCGTTGAGAAGCCCTGATTTAACCAGCCGGTCAAAGCAGATGGCCGCTTGTCCTGAGCCTGGTTCTGCTGGAGGTTTCTTCCTTTTTTAAAGGGAGTTTTTCCTTTCCACTGTTGCCATTGTGCTTGCTCAGGATGGGAGACTGCAACAACTTGTCTGCTGGATTCCTTAGATAGAGAACTTTACTAATTGGCTTTTATGTATGTGAATGTTCCTGTAAAGTGCCCTGAGACAACTTTGCTGTGATTTGGCGCTATATAAATAAACTGAATTGAAATCGATCGCTACAAGGATAAACAAATGTTTTAGCCTGTTTGTCCTACATCTGGGCAGCAGATACCTGCATCCAGATGGAAGCAACCTGAACTTACCATGGAGTGGGTGATCAGGATCTGCCAGAATCAACCTGACCTTGTTCATTGACCTAGCCTTGTGTAGGTCAGTGAGGTTCTGTAAGACAATGCCAACAATTTTGCTACACATCTTTTGACTTTCCATTGGCTAGAATGAAAACCACCTACAGTACATGTGTTTCAGTACACTGACAACCTGCATCAACACAGACTTGAGTACATTCGTTCAACCTTTATTTATACAGGTTAGTCTCATTGAGCCTCAAGGACTCATTTACAAAACATATCACTGATTTATGAGCTGCCATTTTGTAGCCTTGAACTTGGTGTGTGGCTTTTACCATTGTAACCTTTGCCAAGAAAGAAATGACCATATTTGGACAAAAGCTTCAGCTCACTGTTTAGAAGAAATGGATCTTGCTATTAACAATAAAAATAAGATGTTGACTCATCCCATATGCTCTGTTTAAAGTAATTTCCTTATTTTCTTCACCTCTCAAATTGTATTACCCACTTTCCTTTTTTTTTTGTCTACCATATTAACCAACAATTTTCCATACAGAGTGGGAAGGGACGACATTATCTAGTAAATCATCCACCATTTTTATTCATTTGTTCATTCATGCTCTGCCTGTCCTGCACAGAACAGAACTGTTTCACTGTTCAAACTGTGAAAAGGACAAAATGAACAAATAAAAAAACTAAGCCTCTTGTAATGTTTTCTTCATACATCATTTTGCTGCTGGATGGAAGCACTGCAGCACCTTAGGGAAAACAAAACAAAACTAAATCCACTGGTGATTTTTGCAGTATTTTTGCAGGACATGTAGGTTCCTTTCATAAAGAAATTGTGGAGATTCTGTGTTTTCCTGCCACGATGCCCTGTTCTTGCAGCTCCTGAGTGATGGGGGGAGCTTGTCTCTCATACCTGTTCCTGATCCAGCCTGATGAGGTCTGCTGTATTTAAGGACCTGTGGCTCAGTAGACCTCTGCTGGAATGTGTGAGACTTTCAGTCCTGAGTTACTTATCAGTGTAAATCCTGTTTCCTCGAGCATCTCCTGAGTTACCTTCCTGTAAGATCTAGAGCCTGGAAACACTTACCTTTGCACCTTGTCATCTAACTGGGCCAGTCCTTGAGTTTCTGTTTTGCCACTCTCCTATGAACCAATACTCACCTCAACTCCTCCGGCACCATCACCTGTTTGGAATACTTCTTCTTCTTCTCGCCTACAACAAAGACAAACAAAATTCATCCTGGGGTTGTTTCAGGTTACCTTGTAGGGACTAATTTTACAAAAAATTATCCATTGTGGGAACCAACTGCTCTTTATTTCATTCATTCAAACTTTATTTATACAGGATAACCTCAATGAGCCACGAGGACTCATTTACAAGAGGGATCTGTTCCAGACAGAACAAATGGGGACCAAAGCCAGGTCCCCATAAGGATAAGTCTTATTGGGGGGTTAGGCATGTACTAGTAATAGTTAGGTTTAAGATAAGGGTCAGGGTTAGGCTATAGAAAATAAATGGAAGTCATTGCAAAGTCCCCAAAAAATATGTTTACAAGAACGTGTGTGTGTGTGTTTGGGGGGGGGGGGGGGGGGGGTTGTTCACTTGAACAACCTCTTCCAGTGTCAGGTTTTATTAATTTAAATTCTTCTTGAGGAAGACCTGTACATGTCTGCAGCAGCACTAGCAAAACATCATCCACTCAGTGCTTGAAGCACTGTGCACGTGCACACACACAGAGTCTTACTTTCTAACTGACGTCACAGATTGGCTAAAGCAGGGCTTGGTCATAAATCACCTCTAGATGTAGCTTTGTCCTATTAGAGCAAGGAGAAAAATCTAATTATGCTTGATCAAGAAGAACACTCTGCAGAGACAGAGGGGCGGTAATAAAAGGAAGGACAGGGTGAGACAGAAAGCTGAAGAGCGTATTAAACAGGTGGAGAGAGGAACCAGTAAGGACAAGGTTCTGCAGGTTTAAAACCAGGAAAAAAATGAAAATGATGCACGACGAGCAAGACAATGCCTCTGCCTAAAAAGTGTGAGGTCTAGTGCACAGATAAGACCTCCAAAACAAAGGAGCTTTGTTGTTTTTGGTCTTGATGAAAATCATTTTAAAAAAAGGAGAGTTAATTCAGCTGCGTTAAAGAATTGATCACAAATCATTTTTGCACTGGTGCAGAAAATGTAATCTGAACATAAAGGAGTAGATGCCTTTTTATAAAAACTCTATCAAAACAGGAGCGGCTGATTGCAATAATGTCAGGATAGGTACATTTTGGAATCTGCTCCAAGAAGCACAAGAGTTTAAATAAACATTTAACTCAGACTCATCAAAGCCAGTTCAAACTATTGACATCCTTTGCCTAAGGGGCACATCAAAATGTCAAACATAACATGTCATATAAAGATAATATGTCTGCTAAGGATGATGACTATAAGTGTTTTATACTCAGAACAGTTATTAGAAACAATTATGACAAAAGAGCACGGGTTTGCTGTTGGAGCTGGAGAGTTGGACCTGCCATCAGAATGTGATAAGACGTACATCCAACACAGCAGCTCTACATAGTGACGACATCACCAAATCTTAATTTTGCTCAGAAAAGGTACAATTATTTTGCTTAATTCTGTTTGCTGTACCACTCATAACTTGGCCAACAGTTTAAATGTATATACTACATATAGAAGGAGAAATGCTGTTTTAATCAGAAAAGTTTTGAACATCATTCTCTGTCCCAGGGACACTGCTACGGAGCCTATCAGCCACCACAAGATGAAAAGATAGCTAAAAGCTTTAAACAGAGCCCCTAAACAGTAAAGTATAGGCTTATTCTGCCGAGGGGAAAAAAAAACAACAAAATAAGCAAAATTGTCCTAAAAACTTCTCTGTCACATGTTTGATGTCAAAAAGCTACAAGGTTCAGACTGGGGAAGTTTATGGTTTAACATTGACCACCCACCGTAGGGTGACATTTGCAACTTCAGTGGGAAACTTGACAAAAAAGTTGCCTTTACTATATGCTGCTGGTATCGGTCCTACAAAAAGTTTTACTAAAAATGTTTTTTTTATTTATATATATTAATTTTAAACTCATTGAGAAATTCAGCATAAATTGTGCTTGTCTGCATTCGGCCATCAATACGTTTGCAAAATAAAAAGCCAACTTTCTTTTATGGTTTGTCTCTGATTCTCCCTATCCAAGCTAAGTGAATGTGAACTCACCATAATGTGGTATGATGGCCCAGGCCATAGCTGATGCATAGATCTCTCCAATCATCCAGAACATACAGAGCCAGCTGAGGTGTTCTCCTCTTTTCTCTCTAGACAACACCTCTGCAAAGAAGGAGAAAACAATAGGCACAGCTCCTCCAATCCTGTAGAAAGAAAAGATACAGAAATTTAGAAGCACTTTGGCAGAGACACCCTGAGTCATGACAGAAATGTAACCTTCATAAATATTAAGTTTTTGTCTTTAACATGACATCATGAGTGCACCCTTATTTGTTTAGAATTACTAATTGGAACATAAATAAAGTTCTTACCCAGTTTAATGTACAAGTTCGGCAAAAAATCGTAATACATGCGGTTTTGTTACTGAACTAAAACACACAAAATAATCACAGAAAGAGGAAAAAAGGGGAGGGCGGGTGGATATGGATGGATGGATGGATGGATGGATGGATGGATGGATGGATGGATGGATGGATGGATGGATGGACTCATAACTTAAAAAGGGAAAAGGAAACGCTCTGTTTCGTCACGATTCAGGGACACGAGTCATTTTGGCTTCAACAACCTTTTCAATTACTCTGAGTGTCTCCAGAGGGAATGATGCCGGTGCATTTACTGAATTAGCTCTTAAAGGAACGGTAACACTGCCAAGGATGACAACAGACATAAATCACTTTGTGCCAAGTTGTGTATGTTGTGGGAAGAAGAGAGTCTACATCTAATCATTTTTTTCTTTTTTTACACAATTTATTGAAGCTACTTTTGTAAGAAAGAATACCACTAAATCTTGACAAATCATGGTTTTTGCTGCTATAAAATTTTACAATTGGTTAGATAAAAGATTAACACAGTAGCAAACACCATGGATAACAGAAAATAGCAGAGAAAGTAATCAAGGAAACAATCCCATTTTTAATCTGATTATTTGTCTGTGATGAATTACCTGGAGTAATGCACCAATACACTTATTTAATAAATTTATATGTCAGGGATCAAATCTTTCAGTCTGATTGAGGGCATTCTGCTGATAACTGTCTGACTGATGCTGAAGTAGGATTAGAAGCTCAGCTCCAGCCTTTTGACAAGATTCCTCCTTGACCTCCATTTCGTCAGACTTACCCAAAGCCTGCGGCGAGACGACAGAGAAGGAAGAGCCCGTATCCCTGGACAAAAGACGACAGGAAGGCAAAGAAGCCGTTTGTGGACATGCAAATGAGAAGACACTGTCTGCGGCCCACTTTGTCAGACATCCCTCCCCAGAAGAAAGCTCCAACCATCATTCCCAAGTAAACAATGCTGCCTGGAAGAAAGACAGACAACCATGACTATTTTTTGACAAAGATTTACAAAGTCTCGCTAATCTGAAACAACAACAAAAAAGAACAGGTTATTAGTCATTACTATTGTTATTCATTCACTGACGTCGTAGTTTTGAACAGCTGCATTCACAAATGTGTCACTTTATTTTTCCTCCTAAATCCCAATTTACCAAACTATTTTAAAGTAATTTAAATTTAGTGGAGCCGTATTGAGGAAATTGGTTGAATGCAGCTGTAACTTAAACTAAAAAAGTTTTTCAATTGTGGATAGAAGGAGAAAAATGTGAGTACAACAAATCAGATATAGACATTTTCTTATTTTCCTAATGGGTTATTTAGTCACTTAATCTGTCATGGATGGACACTCAATTTCTTGCTACTTTAAGCATAAAAGTTATACATTTGAAAAATTCAACAAGCAAAACAGCACATACAAGACAATGGAGTTGCCCAGAAATGGAAAACCTAACAGTTTTTGACATGTGAACTGAGAAACCGAGGACTAAACCAGTAAAGCTTAACAGAGCGGCTATGTGAGTAAACTAGAACTGGGGCCTTCCTCAGCTAAACGGTTGTAAACACAGAACATATCTCTACAAGCTGGCAATGCTGACTTATGATGAAACACATACAGAGATTTGCAACAGATTGGTGCAGCAATATTTTATACAGAAGTAATGGGTGCTCATAATCTGGTTAATTTGTGCTGCTACACTTTACAGACTGTACAACGAGTGAAAACTGTTAACAATCCCGTCAAAATAATTACAAAAATAAATGCTCTCAAATGCCATTTTAGGAAAAAAGTGTCAAATCACAGGAAGTTGGACTTAATATGATAACTCTAGACACCTTGGACATTACAGCAAGTTTATTCAGCTCTCCAGCTTTGTTTAACCTATGATATTGAAAAAAAACATTCTATCACTTTTTCCTTTTTCATTCAGGAATTCTTCAGACTTTGTCAATGTTTTAAAAATTATTGGGAAAAGTTAACCATGGCGTTATATTCAATATTCCCATTCTGTACGCACAGATGAGAAACATTCTGTTCACGTTTGCTCGCGCTGTCATAAATGTGAGCAAACGACTGTACACGTAACTGTTTTAGTTCACGATTCTATAGAAATTTTGTTTTATTTTTCTGCTGACATTTTTTCTGTTCTTTTGGACCAAAGAAATAAAACGTGGGGATGAACTCTTTAATTTCAACCAGAAGACTCCAATAAAACATCATTGTACTGGTGAGTAAAAGGAATTCAGAAAACAGGCTTTGAACAGTAAATAAAAGTGAACAGTAATGCAGGGTGACTACACAAAAGGGCCCACTGCTCTCTTTTATTTCTACCCGTCACAAATGGGATCAATGCTCCAACAAAACAGCATTGATTTCTTTCACTGATCATCATGATTGAGCCCTGAGGAGAAGAGGCTATTGTTACTTTACTCTGTGTTTTATCCGATATTGTACCACCAGAGGCTTTCAGGGGCATGCTGTGACTGCTGCAAAAAATGCAACTCCAACAGGATTTTTCTCTGCTAATAAATCCTTCTGTTCATGATAAAAACACTATTGTTTACAGGCAGAAAAATATTGCTTTGCCTACAAAAGTGCTCAAATATATTCAAAAACTTTAATCAGAGCAATCTGATTTAAATCAGTTGCTTGCACTTAAATGACTCAGCAGGAAATACAAAATAAGATGCGGCACTAAACTGACTAATGCAATGAGACTCAGCCATGAGGACACTTTATTCACACAACATAAATTAATTTTAGAAAGGTGCCCTCCTCCTGTCTTTCTGCGTCCAGACATCTGCTGTGAGTCTGTTTGACTTTTTTTTACTGCAGGGTTTTTAATGCTGCAAAAAAATGTGACCACTCCCAGGTGAGTTGACTCCTTTATGGGTTCCATAAATTCACCTACAAGTTTAATGGTCTCACACACACAGTTCAGGTTTGCTCCATTAGCATCCATTGGCTTCTAGTTTTCACGCCACATTCAAATGCCCGTTTGTTTTTTCCCTTAAGTTTTTGTTCAAACAATAAAAGCTTCTTTGAAAGAAATCCTGGATTCCTGCTACTTTAATACCCTTACATAAAGAACAGTTAGTACATCCCACAGAGGACACTCAGTTACATAATGAACTTATCGATGTTCTGTCCGAGCAGCTCCACAGTGTGTCAGCATGATGTCAGCTGATTTCAACAAAGGGGAGTGCAGGGCACCAGAATGCAATATAACACAAAAATAGCAGCGTGAAATTAGCCTCCCATGTGAGATTTGTATGGAGAATCATTTTATCCCATGTTCCCTTTTCTTTTTCTCTTTCCTTACTCGCTGAATCAAACATCTTTTCACCATTTTCTCCATGCACAACATGTTACTTAAGTGACTTTTTTTTTTTTTTACTTGTGCCGTTGTATTTTAAATGTCTTACCACAAGAAGCTTTCAGAAAGTATTTTAATTATCTAACAAGGTTGAGTCAAGTCCTCTGGATGGATTCTTCTTGCAGAAAAAGGAGAATCCATTCAGAGGACCTGACTCAACCTTGTTAGATTTATCTACCTGGATTATTGAGCATGTATCGGATATTATTAACTATATTTTTACACTTCAAAATAAAATGCACTGAATTGTTCCTCCTGCTCGTTTAGGGCAGAGAAATGCGTCTAAATGTAGAGCTGTAGACCCATTCAGGATGTGAGCACCTTCAGAGGATGACAGTGTGTCAGGAGACTTCTCAGGCGAGTAAGAAGTGTTGTTTTTCTCCATGACACTGTTGAAGAGTCAGAACACATCTCTGACACTATCACAGGGTCACCTAATGATGTGAGGAATTCTACAAAGGTGCTCTGTTGGACTGCAATTGTGTGCAAGCACGCATCAATAAAAATACTCCTACATGTTGAACTTGCTCAACTGGACAATATGGTGATTAAGAATGGTGAAGTGAAATATAAATGTCACAAACACAAACGCAAGCAAATTTATCGTGCATGTAAGTGCTAATGGGTGGCAGAAGTGAGAAAAAGGAATGAGACAAAGCTCCAGGTAGGAGATGAGATAGACAAAGCAAAGTAAAATGGTGAGGGAAGACCCTTATGCCATGTTTTCTGCCTTGTTACATATAAAGGACCCCTCCATCCCACCAAGGGATGTGGAAGCACTGAGCTGCATCGTGACCTCTCCTTTGATTTCATGCTTTGATGCTCCACAGTGCAAAATGTCACAGCCTCACACAAAACACACATCTTGTTTTGTTCATATAGATGATTCTCTCATGCAGCTGGTGCACCCCATGGCGACGTCTCAGTGCCCATTTCTTTTTCTCTCAAATGATCTTTTATATATTGTGTCCTGCCCTTTTACCTCATCTCCTCAACCCTTATGTCCCAATCTTTCAGTCTTTCCTTTTCCTCTCATCCTTGCTTTCCAATTTCTTGCTTCACTTCTCGTTTATTTTTCTCATTTCGGACTCTTACACTCCTGTTCATCTCACCTCTCCCCTGTGCTTCCCTCACAGTATTCTCTTTAGTTTCCTCTCTGCTTCTATCAACAGCTGCTTTACGTTGAGCAGCATGTAATCGTATTTGTGCTACATTGTGCCTGTTTGATCGGATTCATGCCTGTGCCACCTCCGCAGAAAAGGAGATTAAAGTGTTTGGTCATATTTAAATCAAACAAAATTTAAGGAAATTTGCATTTGATTAATTATTTTTGGTTTAAAAAGAAATTGTTTGTTGACAACAAATCTTTTACTGTTGGAAACTCAACCCATTCAGTTCAATGAAGCTCTCGTGCTCCACACATCCAGCAGAAAAAGTCCATTCTTTACTCCAATGCCCACGCTCAGCACTCTTTCTCAAGAAGTGTGTGATCCTTGCAGTGACGCTGCGATCTTACTGCAATTTAGCCATGCTCAGCTGCGCCTGGTCCACGCAGCCCCAGATACACAGCCTTTACACACAGCCCCCACACACAGCCCCTCTCACAGCCTGCCAGCTGCTACAAACATGACAGGGGAAATGATAGGAAATGATAAAAATACAAAAAATAAAAAGCATAGTGATGAATCTCAAGAAAAAACAAAAAAAAAAGGAAGTCATAGGACACAAAGGTGCTCGTAATACAAACAAAACAGGATTAAAATGTATAGGGTACAACAGAAAATGTAGGTATTTCAGAAAAATTAATGATTAGAAAAGGTTTGTTGGAGAAAAAACTGAGATGAGGGGCGTTACATGAAAGAACAGATAGCATATGAGAACAAATAAGTAATGATAGGGTGATGCATTTCTTTTGTCGGTTTTGTTTGAGATAATAGCCCAGTCTTTCCCTCACTAAATACTACCAGTCTCCACCTCATAGCTCCAGTCCACCCACACCCTCCCACAGCATTACTCCTCTTTTGTCTCTCTACTTCTGCTCTCATGTATGGCTCCTTAAATTCCTCTCCTACTTCCTACCATCATTCTGGTTACTTAAACATTTAAAGTATTTGAACAGGAAGGACACTAATGAATAATAACGATACCAATCCATCCTTCATCCTGATAACCTTGGAGGTTCAATAAGATTAGGATATTTGCATCAGATTGCACTCGGTAATCAAATCATTACTTAGCCAAGCTATTTAGAGGCTGCTTAGACCTTTATGTTTCTCAGACTGCGTCATCCCTTTACATTTAGCACAAACTGTGCCCTGTGTGGCCGTTTTGTGGTTAATGAGGCTGCAGAATGACTCCAGCACAGAAGAAAAGCAACAAAACACTTACAGTGCTTTTTAAATTATTTACTAGCAATGTTTCAAGTGTGTTAACGCGTTTGTTCAGTAAAGTAATTCATTTGTGCCGTCCTTAAACTTTTGACTTTAAAGTATCGTCCATTTGGGTGACTGCACATTTTTTCCCTGCAGTTTTTGCATGGATCATTTATTTTACTGCAGATACGTTCCTCCTTGGAAACACATGGCATCCACTTCTTTCCATCTGCTAAGTTAACATGCACTCAAGAAGCCAGGTTGTTCAGAGAAATCAGAGGCATGCCAAATGTGTCAACACGTTTTCACCTATTATTAGTTTTCTATGGTACGTGGAATAAATGTGACCTCACTTTGGAAGCAATTTATCTCATACCTGTACGCTCCACACTGGTTAGTCGTTATATTTAGTATCTGCAACGTTTTTGTGTCTATATTCTGATTTATTTCATTTTGTATATTGCTTTGAGTGTTGCCTGTTGTTCTGTCTGTACAGCACTTTGGTTGGCCTTGTCGCTGTTTTAAGTGCTCTATAAATAAAATGGTATGGTATATGTTGTCATATGAGTGGGCTGGATGCCTTCTCTGCAAACATGATATAAACATACAATATGTCAGATATTTCACTAGTAATAGCTTATCTTGTCATGCTGTCAGGCTTATTGTGTTTGCTTTAATAGATAATGTTAATTTCTGGTATTTGTTATCATTTCAGTCATGATTTTGCTTGTGTTTTCATTTAGATATTTTCTTGTTTTAAACACGTTTTCCCTTCTCTCCCGTGTCGTTTGTTGATTCCATCATTCAACTTGTTTGTCTGCTTTTTAACATCACCTGCTCACGGTAAGTAATCCTCCCACCCCCATGAAAAATGATGAGAAAATATAAAACAGGAAAACAACAGTTTGAATGCCGAGTCAGCGTTCACACAATTTACAGAATGGAATGGACAAAAGGCCACAATTTTATATCATAATATACCAGTATGTCTTCGCAATGTAAGCCCATTACAGCATTTGATAATAAACTAGTTTTGGCCCTGTACAGTTTTATAACTCTAAAGATTAAATATCTGTTCAATGTGTGGTGTCAGTCTTATAATTACTGGGATAAAAGAAGCTAATTTCTTAGAGATTGTATATTTTAATTATAAAGTCAATAATTCTAATCTAGGTGTTTTGATCAATGTAAAATGAGGTAATGAAACTGTAAGTGCAAGTTTGTCTGGAAATCCTTTCAAGTAATCACTATGGGAGTACCAGAGGAGCTGAAAGGTTGTTTTCAGTTTAGCACTTATTTTATGCTTTCTTTGCAATCTGCTAACAACATTTCTTCAGGGCTGCACAATCCAGCGTTTTCAAATGTTGCCAAGTCACCCATTTGTCATATTGCAGCAAAGCCCCAAGTGCTGCTACTAAAACTAAATATTAGTCCACATAATGAAAGGCACACTTGGCCAAAATCTCACTAAAATACTTACATTATAATTTAGGACTTGTTACTTTAATGAATGAAAATTACGTTAACTGAGTTAATCCATAAATGTACAGTTGCTTATTTTTATACTCACATGCAATAAAATGTTCCCACAGATCCTTTAACATTTCAGTCTGACTGTATTATAATAAAAAATAATTAGTCTGGTGGACTATGAATGGATACCAACAAGGTCTTAGTAATCTTCCTCGAACACACACACTGCAAACACCTCAACAAGGAGGACCCTCAGGGCAATCAGAAAGATAAAGATGAAGAGAAAGGGGGAGAACTGGAGATGAAAATGGAGGGTCTTTGAATGGAGGGTGAAAGGGAGCGACAGGGAACAAGTACATGTAGGGCAGAGAGCAAGAATGCCTGGAAGACTTTGCTCGCCAAGAGAGGAAGAAAGATATTTCCTTGGATACTTGTTCCTAAAACACTGGATTAAGAAAAAAAAATCTTTGAACTCAGCAATTTTTAAAAGTGCATTCGGTAACAGTGCATCTATGTACAATTACGGACAGTGACAGACATCAGGAGCTGCTAATGAAGATGATGCATTGTGTCTTGTTGTAGCAGTTACGTAGTATTTAAGTGCTGTGGGCCTGATTTAATGTCCTCTCCTCTCTGGTTCTGGCACAGTGAGTCAACCCCCGGACACAGCTTTGTGGTGATGGATTATATACCTATAGCTACAGGGACTGTTGAGACGACATGTCAGCCCACAGAGCTTACAAGGAATAACCCTCTCAAACCTGACCTGAAACTCTTATCAACAGCTTATAGGGTAAAGTGTAATGTATATAAGAACAAACTGCTTATCCCATTTACCACAAACCTAATATTCTACCAGTCATGTGCCTATTTTAATTATTCTTTATTATCTGATTGTTTTATGTGTACAGCCCTTTGGTCCTGTGGGTGCTTAAAGTGCTCTATAAATAAAACTGGTACGGTACGGTATGGTAGGGTTTGGTAATGTCCTTTGTTTATTTTAATGACTTACTTGTTGAGAACAATTTTACTCAAAATGTGATGGGGACAACTCTCAACTACAAGTGCTCCAAGTTTTAGCTCAATATCTGTAACATCTACTGTTTAACCCATTCTTGTAATTAAGGTCAGTTTGCTGTTGCCGACATCTTAAATCAAGTTGACGCCAAATGTTAATCCATTTATTACTTTTGCAGAGTTTTATTAAAGTTTGATCAGTAGTTTATGAGACGTTTTGCTAACAGACAGAGTGTTGACTGTAACAGTTATTGCCAAAGTTTTAAATCAAGATCTTATATGATCTGTTAGTGCTCAAAATGTGTGTAGGGAATGATGCGCAGCAAGTACTACACCAAAGTTTGGCTAATTATCAGTAAAAATGGCCAAACAATAAGCATTGTGTTTGCTAAGGATGATTCTGCTACCTTCATGAATCGGGTTGGCTTCAACATGTAATCCGTTGTAGATGTTCATCCAATGATTATTCTGAGATTGTTGTGATTTGGCGCTATATAAATAAACTGAATTGAATTGAATTGAATTGAATTGAGAGTTTCATTATAATGTGTCCAGTGATTCATAATAAATTTTGCTAACAGACAGACGTGTACACACACACACACACACACACACACAAATTCCATCGATGTTTGTTTCCATACAGTTATGAAACTGGTGCTCTGCATTTGACCCATCACGTGTGAGTTACGCCAAAGTGGAGCAGCGGGCCGCTAGTTAAGCACCCAGTGAGTAGTTGGGGATTGGTTGTCTTGCTCAAGGACATGTGAAAATGGCAGGGAATTGAACCTGCAACTTTCCTGTTCCAAGTCACTTCCACTGCTCCACAGCCACCCCCAACTGCATGATCACCCACTGCAATGCAATGCATGATAGCACTGAACAAAGGAAATGCCCAATTCATAAACTAGGAAGAGGTAGTTCTTCTGTTGTAGGTTTATTTTGAAGGGCCAGGTTCAGGTGAGTACTGGTCTGTATAAAGCTGCTTTATATGAACTTTCTCTTTACACTGTGTGTTTTCAGGTGATCTGGCTCAAATTAATTTGCTTTAGGTTCAGGCAGCAAAATTCCTTACCCAGTTTTAGGAAAATATAATAAACCGGGTTAAAATAAACCCTTTGATGGTCAGATAATGTATGTTTTACCTTAATAGATGATCAAACACTAATGTCTTCTCTTTGTCTTGTGAGTTTGGTCAATCGAGTATAAATGACCCACTTAGTGAGGCAACCTTTAATTGGAGGAGCTCATACACACATTTGGAAACTGCTGGATCAGATCAGTTGTATTTGTGTTTATGCATACCTATGTGACATTTAAACATAAAAAAACAAACACAGGGTTCTTACCGAGCCATCCTGAGCTGGAGTTGGGTACGCACATGTCTGTTTCTGCGCTGGGAAGTACAAAGCCCACCACAAACACTTCTACGCCGTCTGACATGAGGGCCATCCCCAGCACAAGGAACAGCTGCCACTGGAACCTCCCATGCCCACACTCCTGCATGATCAGCTCGTACTGCTGGGCCAGCTCCTCTTCGTCCGCCTGCCGCTCCTGCTCCAGGTCATCCCGGCCCCTTGTGGCATCTGACACGGGTTGTCCCAGTGCCACCTTGCCCTCACGCTTTTTGTCTCCTGCGGATGGAATCCCCTGGTACTCCCCCTCGTAGATCTCGTCCTCGTCGTCGTGACCCTCTGTGGCATCGCTGGAGCCCTCCTCGTTGTCCTGGTAGTTCTCTCCCTCCTGCCCCTGTTGGTTCCGATAGAAATCCTCCCTATCATCCTCTTCGTCCTGAAATCGTGCATAGTTACGATGGGATGAATACTCGTCTGTGGCACGGTCCACCACCTTGTTCACTTTTTTGGCAGCATGTCGCTTGGCCTCTTTGACCATGTCTTTGGCCCCTTTGACCAGAGAAGTCCTGTTATTGTAAGTGTCCTCCATTCTGGCTCCAAGGGCAAATCTTCACTGAATTAAAAAAAAAAAATAGAAGTAGGGAGAATATGGGAGGACAGGGCGTTTGCAGGAATGGCACTATCAGTGGGTCTGGAGGAACTCTTGAGTGTGTCACCACAGGAGCCAATCCCCAGTGTGTGTGGCAATCATCAGCCAGGCTAAAAGACACAAGGGAAGGATAAACAACAGAGCAATAATTAGAAAAGGGGCAAGAAGGATCAAAGAACGACAGAAAGAGTTTTTTTAGGACACCATCACTACATTTATAGATATCAAAGAGTATGACATCCCACTGGCAGCACGATCCCTCTTTAATCATTCACACACCTATCTCCCAGGGCTTTTAATCATCTGGTCTGACGTGAAGAAAAGGGCCCGTTTCTGTATCGCTCACCTTTTATTAAAATGAACATTCAATTTCAAGCGGTTCATTCTCTCCTTGTTCTGTATTTCATGAGCTGGCGTTGGTTTTAAAGAGATAATTATTAAGAGCAGAAAATGCTGAATCTGCTGACTCATGATGAGCTCTATGAAGAAAATAATAATGCTCGTAAACAAGAAAGCTCAGCCCAAAATCAATTTATCCTCAATAAAGAGCCAGTTTGTTGTAATGAGAGTGACGACCCGACTGGAACAGCGCTGTCACATTTAATTCAAGCAAAGCAGGAGGGAAGTGGTCACGAGTGGATGTATAGACACTGATCTCACAAGCACACACACACAACTTCTATCTGAGGCTGCTAATATTGTATTGCACCTTAATGCACATTATGAGTCAGTTAAGTCAAAAATGATCCCTCTTGTCAAATATTTACTGTATTATTATCAGAGCTGAAAACTTTATAATTAAAAGCCTAGCATTATTTGAAGGAATGCATGTCAGCAGGTAGACGGTCTGTTAAGAAACCACAAAGAAAGAAAGAAAGAAAGAAAGAAAGAAAGATAGATAGATAGATAGATAGATAGATAGATAGATAGATAGATAGATAGATAGATAGATAGATAGATAGATAGATAGATAGATAGATAGATAGATAGATAGATAGATAGATAGATAGATAGATAGATAGATAGATAGATAGATAGATAGATAGATAGATAGATAGATAGAT